CTGCATTGTAGATGACACCATCCTCAGAATGTTTGGTTACATTCGTGAGATCTTCAATAAGCTTTCTTTACTCTCTCTCTTTCCTTCAGTTCATGCTCTCTTATCCGGGCTTCTTCTTCATGTTTCTCCCATAGTTCTCTATTTTGACTCTTTATTCTTTCGTTTTGGGTGCTTATGTGATCTTGTCTGGTGTGGTGTCCCTTGTCTTCAGCCAGGTAGGGACATTGCAACCCTCAAAACGTTTTCCACTACCTTCTTCATAAGGTTTGTATTCAACAAAGTCACTGACTCCATCCATAGTTATTTTTCTGTCCCTCATGAAACTTCTGCCTTCGGCTTGCCTTTTCTCTCTTGGAGAGCCGGCAAATACAAATTTTGATTCAGAGCCATAAGATTGACGAGGCTTGAGAGACTGTGATCTGGATTGAGAATGGCCACGTTTTGAATAATGTCTCGACTGAGAAGGATGGTGACCACGAGATCTGGATAGAGGATTTGTACTTCTTCGCTCATCTTTTCTTGGTGATGGAGATCGTTCTCTCGTGTTCTCCCTCGGATGATCGTCATCCCTATCATCTTCATGATGTCTCTTTTCCCCTTTTTGGCATCATCGGCACATGTGGTAGGAGGAACGTTGGGGAGCTGATTGATTGCATTCAGAATATCTTGGGCATATCCGAGAGTTTGAAGAGCATATTGTCCCAATTGATATGTGTTGTCTTGTGAAGTGTCTATCTTTGAGCAGGCTAAGTCAATAACTCTTTGAGATTGAAATGGGAGTGTTTGAGTTCGTGCTGTTGACGAGCCACTTTGTTGACAGCGGTGTGAAGTTCATGGAGCTCCTTAGCCACGTGCTTGTGAAATTGTTGATCAGGATTAGCTTGCGGTGGAGGTTGAGACGGCTCTGGCGGTGGCGGACGAGGTTAAGCTGGTGCAGCCATCAACTGATCCACTTTCTTGGACAAGTCTTCCAAGACTTTGGTGTCCCTTTGCCTAATGATCAAGTATTATTGATGTATGGTTTCGGCAGCATGGACAGTCTCTCTCATGAGATTCATGACTACTCGTGGAGATACAGGAGGGGAGTCTTCTTCAATATTTGTTTGTGGGGTTTCAACTTGTCTCCTTGAAGTGGGGCATCCTTTTTGCCACCACTGCTCGAACTTAGAAGAATTGGGGAGGCTTCCAGTTTATCCTCATGTACAACTGCTTCCTCTCGTTTTATTGGAGTTTCGTTCATGGGCCGAACATGTGGAACGAGAGCTCGAGACAGATCTTCAGGCTGAGTAGTTGAAACGTCTTCATCTTGGTGTGATGCTTCCCTTGTGCCATCACTTTCGGACGGTGATTTCTGAGCTGGAGATCTTTCGGGAACAGTGTCATAAGCAGGACCTACCAAGAGAGGAGATGGACTGTCATACATTAGATTTGCTCCATTGTTACTATCATTGTCATCATCATTATTGTCATCATCATTATTGTCATCATCATTGTCACCGTTCTCGTCGTCTACATCCTCGACATCATCATCTCTGTCTTCGTCTTCTTCATCTTCGGTCGTGTCAATCTCTTGGCCTTGATCATCTTTCAAGCCACTGACACTGCAGTTAGGATCATTTTGATGTTCTTTCTCCAGGATGGTTTTGACTTTGGAAATTAACAAGGCATAGCGAACTTCCTTCATCTCTTCCTCAAATGCCGGATCCAAGGGGGGTTTGTTGAGCTCAATGCAAATAAGAGCTTTATCCTTTCCGAGAGTACGATTCGTTATTTTGTAAGAGAACACACGTCTTATCTTTTCAAGACGTAGAGCTTCATTCAGATCCTTGGTTTCAAGCCACTCAAGGGCAAACTCTTCTTCATCTTTCATGACTTCAAAAGTTTCAATGAATGTGTTCAAGGGGGCCGTGCGCCATTTTTGCCATTGCAAAACTCGATTGTAGTCATTTTCAATAGACTCACGAAGCAATTGATCCGGAGATGGAGGAATGGGTGCAGCAACTGGTGGTTTTGTTGTGACTTCGGGAACAGGTGTTGATGTCTTTGGGAGGGTGATACCAGTGTCAATTGTTCATTGGCTGTCTCATCTACCAATACAGGTTCTTGTGTCAGATTTGTCGTTGCCTGTTCTGCATTAGTAGGTTCTTGTGGAAGAGACGAGATTTCATCCAATTTAGCAGCCAATTCTTTCGTCTTTTCTGGCAAGCCAGGTTATTGTGGAAGACTTAAGTGACCGGCCTCCATGTCCATAGCAGCAGGTTCTTGTGTGTCGAACTATGAATGTCTCGCTCTGCTGAAATGGTTCTTGTGGATGAAGGACTTGTGGAGAACTTTGGCCAAGATTTGGTGCCTGTTGATCAGAGGGTTTTGCAGGAGAAGATTCTTTCGTCTGACCTTCCCCCCGGAAAAGTGCGTCTCTCGTGTGTTCTTCCACCTGAGAGGATGCTTCTCTCGGTGTTTTGTCTACATTCGGGGAAGAAGATGCACCAAGCTTCGGTCTCACAGGAGAGCGAAAATGTCCTTCTCTGTGGGAGATTTTGGAGAGATGGAAGTGGGTGTGAATGTACTGATTGCTTACTCTTTTGACTTAATCCGAGAGGAGCGTTTCTCTTTCTTTTGTCTTTTCGGCTTTGGTTGGTCATCTTCTGATCCTTTCGGTGTCCTTGACTTTCGTTTGGATTTAACCACTTCTAAAGGAATATTCAGCTCCAAAGCTTTCTGCTTGTCATAACCAGAGGGTTTCTGCTTCATGTGGCAGGCTTTTTGTCCTGGTCGGATCCCTGGTTTCATGAGAATATTCTTTGTGACAAGTAAATGACTAACCAAAAATCCGTAGCCTAGTTTCTTTGTGATATCACCGGGGCTTTTTCTGTATAGTCCGGTCTCTGTAAGCAGATTAATGATATCTTCTCCAAACCTTCGATCAAGAACATACTCGAGGAACCCATGAGTGTCCCACATGCTTCCTCCGACTATGAGTGGTGCCCTAGATTCGATGAACTGTATATCTTCCGTTGGGAAGGAAGGAATATCCAAACAGGCTGGGGTTTCTGGTTCTTCATTCGAGAGGGTATCTTGGATTTTATCCGCCATTGAGGTGTTGAGGGGATACAGATATGACACTTTGATTTTGAGATCAATAATAAGTGAAAGATGAGAAGTATGGAGAGTAGGGGGTTTTTGTAGGGTTCCATTTGTTACCGGGTACTCAAATACGAGTCAGCCCGATTTTGGGGTGGGTGATTTGAATTTTAAATATTCAACCAGTTTCACTCCCTCAAAAGGTAACTGATCAGCTTATGGGAAAGTGATAAGATCATGCTCAGATCAGTTTTGATCATTCCATATTAAATGAGGAGAGAAAATTCCACTCAAGTGCCTATACGGGCAATTAATGCCCATCACATCATCTGTCAGCCGTCGTGGGGTAGTGGCTGATAGGAATATTTTTGTATGTTTTGATGAGCCAAATGTACTTTAGATCCCCTCAGTTTTTGAGTCTTTAGTACAAGCATCATAAATCAGAATAATAAAATCAGAAGGAATCTACCACAGGAAGAACAAAATTAATTTGAGAAATTAATTTTGGTCCTTCAAGTATTCATCCATGAAAGAGCATAAAGCAATAATGTTGCAAGGAATGACCGGATGAGCCTAACGGCGAAATGGTAGAGGTCCTTACTCAAAACGATCATACCCGAGATCGATTCCCCCAAAGGACCTATATTTTTATAAGGCAGATTTCGCAAAAAGAACAATGTGTGCTAAGGAGCATGATGTGCTGAAAAGAGCACAATGTGTGCTAAGGAGCATGATGTGCTGAAAAAAGCACATGTGTGCTAAGGAGCATGATGTACTCAAAAGAGCACAATGTATACTAAAGGAGCACGATGCGTCCAAAGGAGAACGATGTGTCCTAAGAAGCACGGTCCAAAGAGCACGATGTGTCCAAAAGAAGCACGATGCGTCCAAAGGAGCACGATGTGTCCAAAGGAGCACGATGTGTCCAAAAGAAGCACGATGCTCCAAAGGAGCACGATGTGTCCAAAAGAAGCACAATGTCTACCAAGAAGCACGATGTGAACAAATCTGAAAGGAGCACAATGCCACCTAAGGAGCACAATGTCTTCAAAAGAGCACAATGTCATAAAAGAAGCACAATGTATTGAAAGAAGCACAATGCTCAAAGTCAAGGAGCACAATGTTCAAGTCAAAGGAGCACAATGTGGCAAAAGAGCAAGATGGTCAGAAAATTGATAAATTCGAAGGAATTTATTCTAAGTCCACCCACATGCCACAAGACTCCAAAATTGCCTGAAAGACATTTGATCAGAACGGAAAAATATTTATGAAGGCATGAATATAAAAACTTATCCTAGAAATAAATTCTATCAGATGAATTTATTTCAAAGATTCGTTGAAATTCAAATTGACAATTAAAGTAATATTTTTTAGAGACAACTAGAAAATCAAAGTTGTGCTAAAAATTTACTTTGTCAGGCAAGTTGACAAATCAAATCAAAATTGAAGATCTACTACTGTCAACAATATCAGGCTATGAAGATTCAAATTTCAAATATCAAATTATCCCACTCCAACGGATATATTTGATTGACTATAAAAAGCCATGAAGACTATGAAGACAAACAGGAGGTGAATACGGAGAACAGAGATAGAAGTGCAATACACACCAAAATTCAAAAGTGCTAGTGCTCAAATATTCTAAGAGACTTAGTCTGAATAGTCTCTAATCTAGTTGGAGAGAGAAATACAAATCCTTGTATTTGTAAGTTGTAGAAAAGAGTATAGCTGTGTGCAAAATACTCTAGTGAGTGTAGCTGTGTGCAAAACACTCGTGGAGCTAAGTGTAGCTGTGTGCAAGACACTTAGTTGGCGTTGAGTATAGCTGTGTGCGAAATACTCGGAGTTGAGTGTAGCTGTGTGCGAGACACTCGGAGTTGGGTGTAGCTGTGTGCAAGACATCCGGAAGAAGTGCTTGTGTAGCACTTGTTCACTATTGTAACTGTGTGTGGAAAATAGTGAATTTCTCCTAGACGTGAAGGGAGAAAAGTGGACTAGGAAGATTACGCCACTTCCGAACCACTATAAATTGCCTCTCTCATTTACATACCGCACTTACTTTATTTGCTATATCTATCTATCTCATCGACTAACCCGTTTACTATTCACAGTTAATTTTTATCATCCGGGTTTAGTATGTTCTCACGTATGCATGTGACTCAAACTTCTCAAGCTTAAATATTGAATTATTCTAAGCAAGTTTGACGTATTGCATGTAACATTCACTACACGGTCGACACGTTACGATATTTATTTACAATCTTGAATATTGTCATTATATATTGAGTGAACCATCTCCTCTACATATTCAAGATATCTCTGTCTTAACATATCATTTGTACTTAACTTATCTCATACATGCGCATTTAAATTTACTAGTTGGGCATAACTCTTTACTATTATTCCGCTGTGCAGTGCATACTTGCTCTATTTACTTGTTACTTAGAGTTGAAGTTACCAAAGAGTTATTTAAATTGAAAAAGCCTGAAAGTCTATTCACCCCCCCCTCTAGACTTTCACCACCCTATCGGGACCAACAATTGGTATCAGAGCAGGTGTCTATCCGAGTCAAAATTTGTCTCTAACTGATACAAACAATTGATATCAAGACAGTTGTCTACTTGAGTCAAATTTGACTGCTAGACAGATCTCGAAAAATCAAGATGATGAAAAGAGATAATGCTCTTGCCCAAAATTTATTATTTTCCCTAGAAAAATTTGATGATTGGAAAATTCGCATGCAGGTACATTTATCCGCATTACATGATGAAATGTGGGAAGTGGTTACAAGTGGTCCTATTGAGATTTTGCAAGTCAACACTTCATCCGAACAAACAAGTGAGACTCCACAATACATCCAAAACCGAAAGTGGAATGGTCTCGTGAAGATAGAACAAGAAACAACTTGGACAATATTGCCAAGGATATTTTGTTTAAATCTATCGATGACACGATATTTCCAAAAGTTCGAAAGTGTCGATCCGCGAAGGAAGTTTGGGAAACGCTTATTCAAATTGGTGAAGGAGACGAACAAGAAAAGGATAATAAACTCACTATAGCATTAAAGAAATTCGAGATTTCAAAATGCTAAACGGCGAGAATATTACCGATATGGAAACGAGATTTGCAAAATCTTAGGAGAAATTAATGATCTTGGAAAAGACATTAATCAAAAGGAAATTTCACTCAAAATTCTACGTGGTCTACCATCTTCATGGGACATGAAGGTCACGGCCATGAGAGATCATAGGGATCTAAAAACCCTATCAACCGATAAGCTTTTTAGTGATCTAAAAGCTTATGAATTTGAGATGAAATCAAGATTAGAGGAAGATCATGAAGAAAAGAACAACGCGCTTGTAGCAGAGCAACCATCAACCTCAAGGTCAGTACAAAAATGTTGAATTATTGCCTAATGATCAATTTGCTCTCTTTGTCAAAAAATTCAGGAAATTCATGAAGAAAAGCAACCACAAGAAAAATCCACAAGGGAAATCGTGGAATACAACAAAGAATTCGAAGAAAGAAATTATTGAGGAAGACTCAAATTTGTGTTACAACTGTAGAAACCGGGACACTTTGCAGCAAGTGTCCATACCCCAAGGTAAGCAAAAGTCAATACACAAATGTTACTAATCCTCAACAGGAAGAATTCAAGCCCAAAGATAGAAGATTAAAGGAAAGAAGAAAAGCACTCATCAGTGACCCACTTGAAATAAGTGAGTCAGAAGAATCTTCAAGTGATGAAAGTGACACCTCAAAGGATGACAATGCAATGTTTTGCATGAG